GGGGGGGGGGGGGGTTGAATTTGCAACTTCGTTTAACAAAAAGCAGATAATATTCAATACAAACAAAGAAACAGGCCAAAAATAAAGAGTGCATGTATACTCAAAACTCTTTTGCTTCAGAAGTTACATATAAGCAGTATCATTTGGATTTTAAAAAAAATAAACGGAGGAATGTTTTATCAACTTCGAATTGCAGAATGTCATTACATCAGCAAGCATTAAAAAGAACACTGACATCATCTTCCCTAATCAATGATTCAGGTAAAGTCCTGCAGATACGGAATCAAAGAGTAGACGTTGAGTTTGAAGTGCAAAAATTTTACTAGGAAAACAACAAGCAACCATTGCTAATGCAATATGAATCCAGATAACAAAATACCTAAACAAGAGCAACCCACATAATAAGGTACTGTATGCTTTTAATCAGGATGTAGAAAGAGTATAGGAAACAACTTTCGTAAAAAAAATACAATGCTTTAAAAGAAAAGGGGACTGATATCACAAAGTGTGGCCTACGAATTGGATCTATTTCTGTGTTTAAACAAGCACACTTGAAAAATAGATTTCAAAGTTTAGCAACGAGGAACGTAACCTGTGGATGGTCTTTACTTACTAAAAAATTCTGTAGATGGAGGTCACTGATCACAAATATGGTGTTGATACTCTCTGAGGGAACTCTGAAAGAAACGATGGTTTATACAGTTGTTCGATGTGGAGGGGCATTAGGAGAGGATTGGATAAGAGACTGGGTGTCATCACTTATGTCCATTTCATCCCTCAACCTTGGGAACTGCTAATGCACTTTTCTGGGTCAAATCATACTACAATCAACACTAAGAGAATATAGGATTGAGGATCCTTGAAAGGCATGAGGCAATGCATATCACATTAAATTCTGTAGTTTTTGCATGGGAAGATAGTCGATACTAAGGAATCACATCTTACTGGTGATAGTCTGTGAAGTATTATGGTTAATAACTGTTGTGTTCTTTTCAGAGGGGCTGAAGACTGTTAACCATTTGCTATTGCATTGTCCCTGAGCTTTAGTGCGCTGGTCACTTGTGTTATGCTGGCAGGGGCCAATGATATATGGCCCCCATCAGTCGAGAAGTTGTTAATGGCTGGAAATGCACTTCAAAGGAAAATATATACCAATATGGAGAAACATCTCCAGAAGTCTCTTTTAGTGCATCTCAATGGAAAGGAATAATCAGCATTTAAGAGAAATTGAAACGCAACTCACTTCAGTTCTATCAGAACTCTTGGGAAACCTTTCATTGAAATTATAAGTGATTGTAAAATTCTGATATTTGCGTTTTTTTCTTGGGTATATTTGTGTATTTTTCAAAAGTCTATCCTTGCAATTGGATTTTTCTGTAAGTGCCTTTGTCCTTGGATAGGGATGTAAATGGGGCGGGGCAGGGTAGGGTGGGGCAGGTCAAGCCTTGACCCGCTAAAATTTTGACCCGCCCTGCCCTGCCCCGTTTAGCTTTTAATCAAAATTTTACCCTGCCCCGCCCTGCCCCGTTTAGACTCTTTTTTATCTTTTTCTCTTTACTTTGTATTTTGCAGTATGCTTTTAAAAAATTTAGTCAATTTCTTTTCTAGCAGCGTGCTTCTTCTGTCATAAAAAATAGAAGGAAATCTACAATTAAAGGGATAAAAACGTGAGTGCTCATATGTACAAAATAGTATTAAAGTAAATTCAAATAATCAATGCAGTTCCAGATGACACAAGTTAACATGAAAAGGAATCAGAATTAAACAAAGCCTATACACGAGAAATCAAATCGAACAGCAAAATTGTGTTTTGGACCACTGAGAAGACCATAACCTGCAGTAGCGACTACTTTATTTAGGTTTTCAAGATGTTGGTAGTCCAACCCAAGAATAAAAATACACGGTCATCTTTTTTTTACCCAACCCAGATACTAACCCGAATTTTGCCCTGCCCTGCCCTATTAAAAATTTTCAAAAATCAGATTTTTCCCTGCCCCGCCCCATTTAAATGTCCCCCTGCCCTGTCCTATTAGGAGTTTGCCCTGCCCCGCCCCAATTGCCATCTCTATCCTTGGACTTGCCTGAGCTGTCACATTTTGATATAATACTATCCTAAGAAAAAAATGCAATCCATATTTGTGGACGCTAAATATAAGGACCATGTACACTTATTATCTTTCATCTCATTTACAAATATCAAGCTTCAGAATTTCATTAGCTACATAAACCATCATTAAAATGTGATTCATTACATTATGGTCTACAAACCTATAAAATGAAGAATCACAACACTCAGTAAGTGTTCTTTAACACGACTTCCCTAACTTACCCAAAGCTAATAAAAGAAGAAGAAATTTCGTAAAAGGATAGTCCTGAAAACTATAATGAAATTCACAGACAATTGCATCCCAATATCTGTGCATTCATTTGAACAGTCAATTTTGCAAATATTCAATAATATGAAAGCAGTGCAACGACTAACATGCCTTTTCTAGGGAGAGATACTATTACTAACTAGGACATACATAATCCAAGAAGTGGAAAAGAAGAGTTTTACAAAAAGATATAGAAAATTTAAAGACAAAAGAAGGTTCTCACATATCAGCGTGAGGTTTGAGTCTTTCCATCTTTTTTCGCTCTCGTTCCGATAAATGCAAGTCCATTAACCACCTGCGAAATTAATTTCTTATTTCTAACATAATACTCAAAATCGATTATTCCCATTTCCAATAAACACTTCGTACATTACTGACACAAAGAAAATTACGGCCTCCATCTCATTTAATACAATACAACAGTCTTCCCATTTTGAACGTCCTAAAGTGTTTGACACCGTCTTATTTCTACACAAACTTACATCGAATTCATTTATTTATTCAACTTCTTTTTATAAGAAATTTTATTTCACTTGTAAAACTGAACAAAGGCTGCGCAAATATTAAGAAACTATACATACTTTATAATGTTTTGTCTATCAAACTAATTTTTCAATTCTTACTTGAATATTTTCTTCCATGATAATCTCTTATAAAACCAGTAAACCACAATTATATAAAATGAGAAAGAGGGAGTATTAAGCAAAACGAAAGTTACAATTATCAATTGGCAAAGTTCATCAATGTGCTAACAGTATCTGAATCTAGGTCAATGAAGTGGGTTAAGAACCATGAGGTCTCAGGTTCGAATCACAATGGAGGCATAAGCACCAGGTGATTTCTTCCCATATGTCCCAAGTCTTGGTGGACAGAGTTACCTAACAACAGTACTAGTGGGAGGTAGCAGGTAACCGATGGGATAGTCGAGGTGCGTGCAAGCTTGGCCCAGACACCATCGGCATCCCAAAAAAAAAAAAAATCGACCGCAGCATTGTATTACATTTTAAACTAAGAGTTAAGTTAAGATCTGAAGATAAAAATAAAAAGTTACCTTCTTTTGAGCCTTAGGTCATTATCTTGCTGCTTCAATTGAGATAACAACACTCTACTATCCTCCATATAGCCCTCCATTTTCTCCTATTCTTTCAAAGCGGATAAGAAAATATAGGGTTTCAGGCTTTAAGTGAGTCATCAACTCTACGTGAAACTGAAAATCACATAAGAAAGGTATTTTTGTAAAATTAGTTACGTATTTAAATTTTTAGAAAATTTATCATTACTACTCAAACTCAATTTAGTATATCCATTATCACACAGAAAGCAAATAAGAACAAACATTTATTTTTAAAAATCACATGGAAGTAGTTATAAGCTTTGTTAAGCAATGGGAACAAACACGGCAGTATAATCCAAAAATTAATAAAGATTTGCATTTTATCGTTAAAAATCATTGTAAAAATGCATAAAGAAAAATATCGAGAGACAGAGAAAGAGCAACATACAATTTGATTCCTAAAACGAGGGACTTGCGGCAGAAGGAGATGAAGAGGAGGCAACAGAGGAAGACAGCGGCAGCGTAATATTGGCGAGAAATTGAAAGTGAGTGGAGTTCAAATTTGGGTCTATGTATTGTTAAAATAGCATGGACTAGTCAGTTGGGACCGGGTCATTCAAAAATAATCAGTATTTATCAAGTCATTGAAAAATAGCCACTATTTTGCTGCAACAAAGATCGGTCCAGTATAATATATCGGAGTTCGTGCAACTGTGTATAAACTTAAAGCATATTATATTGGACCGGTATACTTTGCTGGCTCGAGTATATTACACTAGACCGGTATATTATACTGGAACTCCAGTATATTAGACTGGAACTATAATGGAGTCCAATATAATATACTGGAACTCCAGTATTTTATGCTGGAGTATTTTTCCGGATTTTGAACAGTATTTTCGTTCAGATTTATCTTTCCATGAAAAGTGATTAAATTTTGATTACTTTTGAAACTGTGACTATTTTTGAATGAACACTTGTAAATTTGGCTATTTTTTAATTTCTCCCCTATTTATTTGGGGGCATTTACATCTATACCCGCTTTTTGTGTCACGTTTTAACTTGTGTCCGCTTTGCAAAAAAAATTACAAGTGTACCCACTTTTTCGCATAACTTCAGCATACGGGGCTGAAGTAGCAAAGGCAATCACGCAAAACTTCAGCATTCTAGTAGCCGGGCCTGAAGTTCAGCTCTAGAGGTGAAGTTTTTGTTTTGTAACTGGTGAATTTCAGCTCAAGTTTTTGTTTTGTAATTGGCGAACTTCTGCTCTAGAGCTGAAGTTTTTGTTTTTGTAATTCGCGAACTTCAGCTCTAGAGCTGAAGTTTTTGTTTTTGTAATTCGCGAACTTCAGCTCTAGAGCTGAAGTTTTTATTTTGTAACTTTCGAATTTCAGCTCTAGAGCTGAAGTTTTTGTTTTGTAACTGGCGAACTTCAGCTGAAGTTTTTATTTTGGAACTGTCGAACTTCAGCTCTAGAGCTGAAGTTTTTATTGAAGGAAGTTTTTGTTTTGTATCTATCAGGTGTTATGCTTTTAGTTGTTAAATTATTGAGAAGCAAATTTTTAAATGTTTGTTAGACAGGAAACAAACTTTATGCCTCGTCAACCTTTGAATTCTATTAAAACTCTGCATTCAAGAGTGAGCATGTGCATTACTCTAAACCATTTCCTCGTTGTTCAACTCACTGAAGAAAGGAAAGAACAAGAATTACATAAATTGTTCTATTAAAAAATTTGTAGTACAGCCGCATTATGTTTGGGGTGGTCTTAATTTTTTGTCCCCGTTTGTTTCATAGACAAAATTTCGTACTTTGTATTTTACAGTGTTACTCTTCGCTTGCCTTATGAGCAACAATTTTAACTTTTGACTTAAAAGTTCTGATCATGGTAAGGCTAGGTATATATCAGGTAAAATCGATAGCTCGAATCGAAAAAAATACTATTGAGTTATCGATATCGGGTATTGAGTTAATGGTTCGGTAACAGTTTAATATTATTTGACTATTGAGTTATCAGTTTGGGTCTCGATTTGCCCAAGTTTATTAACGGTTTAACCGATAACTCAATAAGTTTTATCAAAATTATCACTATACCATTAAGTATATAAAGTCACCTCAAGGCTTGGTTTCTTTAAACTTTATGAATTTCTCATCTTTATTTTTTGGTTCATATATTTTAGTTTTAACGTTTTAAAGAATTTATTTTTCAGATTTTTAGTTTTTTTTTTCCGCTGATTCTTTAGCATTTATAAGATTAGGTTTTTATCATTTTTTTGTAGTTAGTAAGATTAGTTTGTTGAATGTATTATTAGTTACTCCTACTAACATATTTGAAAATTAAAATCATTCTGATGTTTAGCTTAAAGCATATATATTCTATGTATATCGCCTCATATTTTACTTTTGTTTCATGAATTTGGGATGTTAAATGCTATGATTTATATTAATTTGAAGTATTTTTATGTGTAGGAATGATTCGGGAGTAATTGGGGGCGAAACGCGCAATATTTGAGCCAAAACGAACGAAACCGGGAAACCTTGCGAATTTGGGCGCCACAGGTGGCGCCTAGCCCTACCTGTGGCGCCAAAAATAGTAGCTAAAAATATTGGAGCGCCGTGGAGGGCGACTGGCGCTAGCCAGGGTGCCAGTGACATGAATTTTCTCCAAATTCGCCCGGGACAAGGTTATTTCGGCCCTAGATCTACCCAACACATATAAAAGCAAGACTAAACCTATTTTTGAAGGGAGGGACGCCACTTTGGAGGAAAAATACACATGGGATCGTGAGGAAGCGGAGAATTCTCAGTTTTCTTCATCTTTTCTGGTATTTCCAATTGATTCAACACTTATGCAATTGTTTGATTACATCATGAGTGGCTAAACACCCATTGTTCTGGGGTTGTGATTTAGCCACGAATATTGTTGTTTGATATTAGCTTGACCTTGATTATAATTCACTAATATATTATTGTTTCTTCAATTTTATGTTTAATTACTTAATTGTCTGGCCAACAGTTATGTTCTATTTACTATCTATGTTATGCTTGGGAAAGCTGCGTTTAGATTAGAGAAGAATTGAAGAGTGCATGATCTTAACCCTTAGGGGGAGCGGATTTGTGGTTAGGATAGGAATATACCTAGTCACCGTGCTTAATTAAATATCGTAATCTTAATGCATTCTTAATAGATTGATTTCATAGGAATATAAGCGTTAATCTATTGAGAATAGGTGAGTAGTACTTCGGGAGAAGGCTATGAGAGCATTTATCGATTAATTAGCAACCATGAGTGAATTATATAAAAGGGAGAGTTAATTAGAACACAATACGAATGGTGAATCGATCACAACCCTGGAATACTTGTCTCTACTGAATACACAACAATCAACTCGTTACTTGATAATTTAGTTATTATTTAGAATCGTAGTATAATATAATCATATTACTGGACTTTGATTTTAGCTGGATTGAATAACAAGTTTAGTGATTTAGTGAGTGGTTTATACAAGTCTCTGTGGGTTCGACACTCAACTTATCATTATATTACTTGTCGACCACGTATACTTGCGTGTGCGTTTGGGAGCAACAAGTTTTTGGCGCCGTTGTCGGGGACTTGAATATAAACTACTTTCTAGTTTTTGCTTTAATTGTTTATTTCGTCTAGTCTAACGTTACTTGATTGTTGCTCTAATCTCAGAAACTTTGATTGAATGCGTAGGGTCAGAAGCCAGGACAGACTCAACGGCTTTGACCCCGAACCTGAGAAAACATTTCACAGGAGGTTGAGGGAAGCAAGGGATACAAACAATATTCAAGCACTCATTCAATTTCCTGTGAACATGGCAGAGGAGCAACATATGGCTGTTCAGGATGTAGCAATGCCCAGGATTGCTGATGTTACCTCCAGCATAGTGAAGCCCAGAATCACCGGGCACTTTGAGCTTAAACAGAGCATGATCCAGCTACTTCATGCAAACGGGCAGTTTATGGGTCTTCCACACGAGGATCCACAACAGCATATTCTGAAGTTCTTAGAGATTAGTGATACTTATATCACTAACGGGATCACTCCAGATTATGTGAGGCTCACACTTTTTCCATTCTCTCTGTTGGGCGAAACTAAGTGATGGCTAAAGGTAGAACCAGCTAATTCCATTACATCATGGAATTATTTGGCAAGAAAATTTCTAGCAAGGTTTTTCCCTTCAGGCAAAACTGTAAAAATTAGAAGTGAGATAGTCGCCTTCAAACAGAAAGTAGGAGAATCTTTATATTCGGCTTGGGAAAGGTTCAAGGGGCTACTCAGAGACTGTCCTCATCACAATCAGACGAATGGAGTGTTAGTTCACGCTTTCATAGAAGGGCTCCATCCCCAAACAAAAATTGTAGTAGATGCTACAGCTGGAGGTCAAGTATTGGAGAAAAGTTTTGATGAAATTTATGCATTATTGAACAAATTCTCCAAAAGCAATCCGGATTGGCAAGGAGAGATGGGTAGGAACATGGTACAAAAATCACCAGGGGTTCTTGAATTAGATGTTGTTTCAGCATTATCAGCACAAGTCTTCACGCTGACCAACCAAGTCAATCAAATGACCATGATCATTAACAAGCAACAAGCCCAGCCAGTGCAACAAGTTCAAATATTTTGTGAGGTATGTAGAGAGGGTCACATGAGCAATCTATGCCCAGCAAATCCAGAGTCTGTATATTTTGTGGGTAATGCAAATCGAGGCCAAACAAATCAGTATGGGGACACTTACAACCCCAATTGGAGGATTCACCCAAACTTCTCCTGGGGTGGAAATCAAGGCAATCAGAATCAATACCGGCCTCAAGCACCTCAACAACAATCCAGACCACCTCAGGCTGAACAACAAGCTAGCCTTGAGGAGATGATGAAGAAATTGATGGCCGACCAGCAAGCCCTCAATCAGAAATTAATAGCAGATCAACAAACTTTCAATCAAAAATTAATAGCAGATCAACAAACTTTCAATCAGAAAATAATGGCTGATCAGTAGGCTCAAGCCGCAACATTGAGAAATTTGGAGCATCAGGTGGGCCAACTTTCCAAAGCCCAAAATACCAGACCAATAGGGGCTCTTCCTAGTGATACGGAGCCCAATCCTAAAGATCAAGTCAATGCGGTTACCTTGCGAAATGGAAGAGCATTAGAAGAGGTTCCAAAGAAAAAGAAGAATACAACTCATCTTGAAGGAGAATTAGTTCCCAAGCCAGTTGAGGGGAATGAGAAAGATGATAAAGGATCCGATCCAGTAATTGAGACTAGGCCTCCACCTTCGTTTCCATAAAGACTGCAAATTCCTAGATATTTTGAGCCAAGTGAGTGTGAATTTGCCTTTGGTGGAAATTTTGCAGGAAGTGCCTAAGTATGCAAGGTATCTCAGAGATATTGTGGCAAACAAATGAAGACATGCAGAGTTCGAAACAGTTGCACTTACTGAAGAGTGCAGTGCCAGAGTTCAGAGTAAACTTCCTCCTAAGTTGAAGGATCCTAGGACTTTCACAATTCCTTTGTCTCTTGGAAAACAAGAAGTTGGTAGAGCCCTGTGTGATTTAGGGGCTAGTATAAATTTGATGCCATCCTCTTTGTTCAAGCAACTCGGATTGGGGGTGCTTAGACCTACTACAATCACTTTACAGTTAGCAGATAGGTCACTAGTCATGCTAGAAGGAATTATTGAGGATGTGTTAGTTCGAGTGGGAAAGTTTATTCTTCCTGCTGATTTTATTGTTCTTGATTACGAGGCAGATGAGGAAGTGCCCATTATTTTGGGGCGACCATTCTTAGCTACTGGTGGGGCAATTATTGATGTGAGGGCAGGGAAGTTAAAAATGAGAGTTGACGATGAGGAGGTCACTTTTAATGTGTACAAGGCACTTAAGCTCCCTAAGCATTATGAGGGCTTGTGCATGATTACTGTGGTCGAATTGAAGGGAATATAGCAGAGTCAGCATGTGAATTATAGTGATCCAGATGGGACAACTGAGTTAGAGGAGGTGGTGTTTCCAGCTGAATGTGTAAAGATGATTGAGAAAAGAGCCAGAGATGAAAGAGGAGACCTTTCGAGAGCGTGCAAAAAGGCTAGACTTCATGGGAGAAAGAAGAAGAGAAAGCGTCCAGCCTGAGCAGAGTAGCAGAGTCGTGCCACGACTATAAATAAGGCGCTTGTTGGGAGGCAACCCAACCTGTATATCTTTTATTTATTGATTATTTTTTTAGTGTCAAGTTTTGTGTTGTTTTTATTTTGCAGAGTAGCTAGGGGAAGTCTGAGTACCCAAAGTTGAAGTTGAGGAGCATGTTTGAGCTTAAGTGTGGGGTTGTCCCGACCCTTAATATTGAGGATCATGTCCGAGCTAGGCCTGAGAGGGTCTCAGGGAGTATTTCTCACCCTTGTTTTAATATTTCTCTATGATCATGCATCGAGGACTATGTATAATATAAGTGTGGGATGGGGAAACTACTTTCTGAAGTGTAATTGTATAAAACTATTTTTTTATTTAGTTTTCTTTTAGAACTCGCAGTAGACATAGTCTAGGTTAAAAAATATATATAAAAAAACGAAAAGAAAAAGAAAAAAAATTAGAAAAAGTTCAGATTTTTCCCGACGATGGATCTTTTGGACAATTTTCTTAAGGGATAAAGTTCGATTAAAAATACCAAAAAGTTTTTTTAGGATAGTTAAGTAGTATCCCTTGATTTTTCTTTGGGCGCCGGTTCTTTTCCAAGGGTGTAGCTCGAACCGGGTACTTTTTTTTAGGAATAGTTAGGAAGAAACTGAGTCGCTCTGAGATACTCATTGACATGGTTGATGCTGGAACATTAGGCTAGGACATACATTTTGTTTTCCTATGTATTTGGTTTGAATTGTGAAGCCTAAGTAGAGTAAATAACCTATTTTGTGATGCCTTGCCTCAGTCGTTTGACTTGTATGCCACATAGTGCAATATTGCTTAAATTTCTCAATTATATGTGCTTGCTTGACATGAAAATTGAACAGAACCGTCTTGATTGAGTCATGTGCAACGTGTGTGCGAGGATTTGTGATTTTCCGTGCTATCCTGTGTAGTCTAGAACTTACCCCGTGTGTTAATTGAAGCGAAATTGTAGGTTGTGCTAATCTAGGAGATGACGTAGGCATTTTCTTGCTTGATCATGGATGCTTGTCACATAAAAATAAAATTTTCCGTTGCTAGCTCCTTTGAGCCTATAGACCTTTTCTTTGGCAACCACATTACAAGTCATACCCCTATTTTGTTCTTAATTTGATATTGCTTGAACATTTACCTCCTAAGGCACTTAGTCGCTAAAAGAAGTAAGGTTAGAGATTGGGAAGTAGCTTTTGGGTGGAACCATGGAAGGGCCCGTTGGTGCACTAAAGTTGAAATCAAAAGACACTAGCCAATAAACCTTAATGTATGGAGTGTGTGAAAAGAAAAAAAAAAGAAAAAAAATTGCAAGAAAAGAAAAATATGATAGTTCAAATAATGTAGAAAAACACACACCTCCAATTCTTATCGATTGTGCTAGTGGAATTATAGAAGTGCTTAATTGAAAAGAGGGCTATGTTGCATATGGTGTGTGGCAAGTGAATTGGTTGAGAAGAATATGTGCTTGAATTGTCAATGTAGTGTATTAAAGTGCTTAGGAGGGTTAGTCATTATCTCTAAATGTATCATACTCGTCCCTTAGCCTACATTACGACCTTAAAGTCCTAATTGATCCTAGATTTGACTAGCTTAAATTAGTAAAAATATACACTACGGGCAAGCTTATGGTACGATCACGGGATGCACATGAACTCTTTGTGAGAGTTAGTGAATTTGGTTCAATTGTGTGATTTCCTTAAATTATGTTCAAAAACATATTTGAATGTGTGGACTAGTCTATATTCACTCTTTTGTTTGTTGGTGAGGGCACATGATCTCATGAATGATTGGTAATGTTGTAAATTTTCTTGTTGGGTAAGTGCATGAATTAAGGGTGCTTAGTGGTTACAAGTCGGCTTTTAAGGTTGGGTGGTGACAAATAGGTTGTGTGTTCATGCTTGTGCGCCGGTATTGATCACAGTCAAGGGTAAAGTGTGTGGTTAAAAGTTAAAGTGCTCCTCTATAATTGATACTTGTACGTAGTTGGAGGGTAATAGATTGTCCCGTTGCTCGAGGACGAACAAGAGTCTAAGTGTGGGGTGTTGATGTTTAGCTTAAAGTACATATATTTCTATGTATATCGCCTCATATTTTACTCTTTTTTTTGTGAATTTGGGATGTTAAATGTTATGATTTATATTAATTTGAAGTGTTTTTATGTGTAGGAATGATTCGGGAGCAATTGAGGGCGAAACGCGCAAGATTTGAGCCAAAACGAATGAAACCGGGAAACTTGCGAATTTGGGCGTCACCTGTGGCGCCAAAAATAGTAGCTAAAAATATTGGAGCGTCGTGGAGGGCGCCTGGCTCTAGCCAGGGTGCCAGTGACGTGAATTTTCTCTAAATTCATCGGGGACAAGGTTATTTCGGCCCTAGACCTACCCAACACGTATAAAAGCAAGACTAAACCTATTTTTGAAGGGGGACGCCACTTTGGAGGAAAAATACACACCGGATCGTGAGGAAGTGGAGAATTCTCAGTTTTCTTCACTTTTTCTAGTATTTCCAATGGATTCAACAATTATGCAATTGTTTGATTACAACATGAGTGGCTAAACACCCATTGTTCTGGGGTTGTGATTTAGCCATGAATATTGTTGTTTGATATTAGCTTGACCTTGATTATAATTCACTAATATATGGTTGTTTCTTCAATTTTATGTTTAATTGCTTAATTGTTTGGCCAGCAGTTAGGTTCTATTTACTATCTATGCTATGCTTGGGAAAGCTGTGTTTAGATTAGAGAAGAATTGAAGAGAGCATGATCTTAACTCTTAGGGGGAGCGGATTTATGGTTAGGATAGGAATATACCTAGTCACCGTGCTTAATTAAATATCGTAATCTTAATGCGTTCTTAATAGATTGATTTCATAGGAATATAGGCGTTAATCTATTGAGAATAGGTGAGTAGTACTTCGGGAGAAGGCTATGAGAGCATTTATCGACTAATTAGCAACCATGAGTGAATTATATGAAAGGGAGAGTTAATTAGAACACAATACTAATGGTGAATCGATCACAGCTCTGAAATACTTGTCTCTACTGAATACACAACAATCAACTTGTTACTTGATAATTTAGTTATTATTTAGAATCGTAGTATAATATAATCATATTACTGGACTTTGATTTTATCTGGATTGAATAACAATTTTAGTGATTTAGTGAGTGGTTTGTACAAGTCTCTGTGGGTTTGACACTCAACTTATCATTATATTACTTGTCGACCATGTATACTTGCGTGTGCGTTTGGGAGCAACACATTCATTTGGGATTTTCACATGCAAAAAAAAATAAAAAAATAAAATCTAAAGTTGAAATCTAATCCCTCTTTTCTTAAGAATAAAAATTTATTTCATCTCTCTTAACAGTATGATTATGATTTTTATAATAAAATTATTATATTGTTATTCTTATCGGGTAAATCGATAATCGAACTGATAACTATTGATAACCGAACTGATAACGATCGATAATCCTAACCGATAACTATCGATAACCAACTAATCGATACCGATAATCTATATCTTATCGGTTTGGTTAATGATTTAGCGTATTTATAAATCAATAACTGATACCTCGAACCGATAATATTCATAATCAAATCGAATTGACCGATACCCACCCTTAGCTCATGGGAGAAGCGGAGGTTACAAGTTAAAGACCAAAAAAGTATCATATTTTTGTATTATTTTTCTCTGTCAACGTGGAGCTAGTGATTTGTGAAGAAGGACTAGGGGCAAAGGTGATGTTCGGCGCAACATGAAGGTTAATAACTCAAATTAGACTTTGTTGCAATCAAGTTTCATCTAGGGGTGTTAAACGGGCCGGGTCAACCCGATTCCGGACCGGCCCGAACCGGTTAAAGGGGGTTGGGTTGGGCTGGGTTAGGGGGGACAAGCGGGTTGGTCCGTTTACCATTAAAATACGGTTACCCGGACCGGTCCAACCCGTTAGGTGAACAGTACTCGTAAACCGGTTAACCGGCCCGGCCCGGCCCGGTTTAACAGTAAAAAAAATCTTAATTTTTTTTAATTTGGGCCAGATCTGACCGTTGGCAACGGTCCATTTCAGAAAATGGTCGTTGCCCAACGGGTGAATTGCACAAATAGCCCAATTTTTTTATTTTTTTTTAAATTAACCCCCTTTCAAAATCTATAAATACCCCCCCCTCTTCCTCATTTTTTCACTCATCTCTCAATTCTCATATTCTCTCATTCTTCAATCTTCATTCTTCACCTATTAAAGTGCAATCAACTATTTGGCTATTTTTTTTGGAATTTAATTTATCGTAATACTTATTTTTTGAAGTTTGAACAATTGAACTTCAAAATTGAAAGAATTGACGTTTATTCGTGGTAACATTTGAGTTGCGGAATCATCAAGTGCTCAATTTATTGTCGAATTCGGTGCACTCCCTCCAACGCTTTCTCTTATTTACTATTTTACTTGCATATTTATTTGTTTTGTTGCTAGTAGTTAAATTTTTACAATATGTTTAATGCTGCAAAAAGAGTTTGTAACAAGGTTACTAATCGGGGAAATAAAAAAAGAGGTAGTACTTCAGGTTCAGCATCTGGAAGTAATTTAAATACCTCTCTAAATATTCCTGAAACATTACCTGATAATAATATAGACTATGAACAATTGCAGGAAGATTTTGGTATAGATGATAATGATTAGAAATGGAAGATGAGATACCACTTACACCTAGTAGTATTGGAGCTGCTAGCAGGGGTGGTGGTCGTGTTGCTAGTAGTAGACCACTTGTGGCCCCGACTA